AGAGATGCTAAAAAGCCAGGATAAGGCAGAACAAACAGTTCTGGTGTGTTTATGTTTTCTGTATTAGAATAATCATCTGATTTTATTGTTTACTGTCAGTACCATTTACAGAGACCGAGTTTAAAAATAAACCCAATTAGAACTGGCTGAAATAACGTGCAAAGTGTTTATCAACAGACAATAAAATTTCGACTGATTTTTTTCATTGTGTTTTGCTGAGAAAACCCCAGAGCGACATGTCATTTGCTGCATATCCAAATGCATTTTTGTGATGGTGAAAAGAAAATGCCTTCCAGAGTTCAATTCAGTCTGGGAACAGGCAGCAATTAAATCGTAAAAAGCTGGCAATATAGAATAATTTTCCCAGGACTTTTTCCGATGGCACATCATTCATCTCCAGATTCAACAAGCTCTCTATAATACCTCGGAACAGTGAACTGAGTGATTATCGTGTACATGGCATTTGTGTATCATATTTACCTCCACAACATAACTAAGTTGGCAGCTGTTATTACTACCCAAAGTTAGACAGAATTACTAGACCTTGCAAAACTTCGGAACTCAGTTCATGATGCTCTAGATCACAAAGGGGAGTGTGGACTCTGCCCCAATGAACCAATGGATGTTAGTTGTGAATTCAATGAATGTTATTCCCAAGAAACTGGTGTACGTGTCGGAGTCGAGGGAGTAACTCCGGGAGGAAATTCATGCGACAGCAGCGCCTTACTCGATTTCTGGAAGTTCGTGAAATGCTTGTTGAGAACATGTCACACAGAAGCCCCATGGTGTATTATGGCAAAAAGGCTCTAATAACCTCCGTAGGTGGCAGATCCAGGATCCAATCCCAGTTCCATCCATTAGAAGCTGAGTCCTCAGGCGAGGTGCTCGACTGAATTTCCTCCCTTTGCATAGTGGAGACATTGCCATTTATCTGGTTCATAATAAAGGGGATCAGAACAAGCCACCTCAAAACGTGCCACTTTGACACTGGATTATTTTGAGGTAAAGGAAACAGCAGACACAGAAGGAACTCCTTGCCCTCCCTCTTTCTGCCAGGAAGCAGGACGTAAGTTTCCCTTCGTGAAGGTGCCCTCCCTCCCCCAACTCACGTACCAGAAAGAGTACAAGCAAGATGGAAATACAAAGATGACACTGCGACGTCTCCGCACAAACAAACCTTACTAAAAGAACCCTATTTCCATCGGTTTATATTTGCCTTCCTGCAATACCACTGGAAAAGCCCAAACACTTTTCCTTCACCTTATCATCTCTCCATAATTTATTGCCTTTTTAAAACATGATAGGTAAAAATCTCAAGCTTAATGGCGTCTTTGGGTTTTCACTTTTCTTCTGTGATGTCCACATGCATTAAAAATAAACCTTTTTCTCTCGTTAATCTGTCTTTTGTCAATGTAATTTGCATGCCCCAGGCATTGTATCTAAGAGAGTAAAGATTTTCCTCTTCTAAAATAGAGATATTATGAGAAATAAAGGAAGTGACATTTTGGTATACACAAAATATTTAAAGGTAGCCCTCTTCGTATCATCAACACAGTCCTCATCCACCCATAACATAAACTCTCCTGTGCTTTCCGCCTCTCTCCCCGACTGGCCCAGATTTGTGTTGCAGTCTTGCGTCTTTGCAAAATAACTTTCCTTAGAAGCTCCTTGACTGCCTTGCTACTGCTTTCTTTTCAGAACCAAACTTCTCATAAGAATAATCTATGCTTTCACATTCTTCATCTTCGATCCAGTTCTCAACTACCCAAATCTGGTTTCCTCTCCAGCCGCTATACAAAACCGTTTTGGGAATGGCCCCGAAGACCTAATATCAAAGCCAATGAGCATGGGCGTCTCCCTGGATCCCGTGGCATCCTCCGGTGCATGCCACGGCCCAGTCCTGAGCCTCTTCATTTTCCTACTGCTGCTCCATCAGGCACAGAGTTTGCTCAGAACACAAGGGTGGCTCAGGGTGTGGGGAAGAGGGGGAGGAGAGGGGTGGGTGCTGCCGGCAGGGAAAGGAGCAGACGCTGCAGCAGTGCCTGGGGCACTGCGGCCACTCAGCAGGCAGCAGCCGCCTTCTCCCACTCCTTCCCATCGTGCACAATGCCAGCAGTCAAGAGTATGTAAATCGACAAGATTATTTTCTGTTCACTTCAAGAAATGATGTTATTCCATGATTTCTTTCTATATTTGCTTGCATGAAAACTCTTCAAAACATCAAAATTAACTTAGATAATTTCCAACCTCAACTATATTATATGATTAAAGTTATAACTATGTTGAAAGTACAGGGAACCACTTAACGTAGAAAAATTAATTCATTGAGTGTCAGAATTAGAAAATACTTCAGAACGTAAACATGGCTCCCACAGCTTGGATTCAATGGGAAGAAGACAGATTCCCGACTTTGAAGGTTTGTAAGGTGTTGACTGTTAGTGACCAGGGGAGAGATCTCTTTGGGGCAGACGTTTAGAGACAGAGTAGCTCACAGGGAAGCATGAAGGAGAATATTCTATCCCCCAAGGGGTCAGGAAAGGCTGTGGACAGACCGGCACCCTCACACGCTCCCTGTTCTAACAGACCTTTCTGCTTTGCCGTCTGTCCAAGGGCCACAGTTACAACAACCAGCTTTTTACAGAAACCCAGACCATCAAAGGCCCTCATGAGCCTACAAGATTTCTTTTCAGCTTCAAAATTAGATCAAATGAAGCTCATTTCATGAATATTTTAAAAAGTAAAATGATTAAGAATTTTTCTCCGTCAGCGCTTTCTCTATCAATAGAGTCTCACTGGTGAGTGGGATCTTATGTGGAATATTGTAAGAGGAATAAAATGAGGAAAGACTCAGACCCCAGCAGTGAGGCCCAGTGAGTTGCAGAGCAGACAAGCGAGTTTTTAGTGTTGGAAGCAGATTTCAGTGGAGAAAGTTAAGTGGCTGCAGGAGTGTGGGGCTCGGAAGGGATGCAGCGGCTGGCTGTGCTCGCTTCCGGGAGTTGGAGCGAGCCCACCCTACGCGCCGGAGCTCTACACCGCATAGCCGGGCGTAAATGCCATCAAAACCTGGGAAGAAGGAAGACGGGTTTGTAACCACGGGAATTCATGAGTCTTGTCTGCTCATTAGTGCAAATGGAACCTTCTAAGGATGCCAGAGAAAAGAAGGAAATGAGCTTTGAAAAGAAAACAAGGCAAGTAACTTTTTCAAAGTAGGTGTTTTCATTCTGTCTTCACTACATCCAATACACGCCCCAGATATTATCTAATAATGGCTGTCATGCTCATCTGTCCTTGCGCTCTTAGTTACGAAAGCTTTAATAGTAACAGTCATAGAACCATGTCTAACTTTACTTAGATTCTTAACACAAGGCTCACCTCCCCTGGGCAACCCGTTGCCCCTGGAGAGGAGACACACCCCTCAGTCTCAATGGCAGGGTCAGGGATCCCCAAGGCCTCCTGGTAGGTAGGC